ACACCCACCCCGCCTGGAAATGGAATCTAGCTTTTGGCCTGTTGCTGAGGTCAACTTTTTGGAAGGGGGAGGGGGGAAATTCAACATTTTAAAATTTTATTCCAGGGTTGTTGTTTTGTTTCCCTTTTCCTTTTTTTCCCTTTCCCTTTTTTTTTCTTTTTTAGATCTGAATGTGAATTATGGCAGCAGTAGCCCTATCAACATCTCCAGCCACCTTAAAGAGGAAACGAGTTTCATTTGCCTTAAAGATTCACGGATGGAAGCCTGTTGCTGACTTATTATAAGACTGCTTCATTGTAGGGTGTATATTTACTACTCTTTAAGTGTTTAGCCTAGGGCATGATTATTTAAATCTTGAATTGTAGGGGTTGCCAAATCGTCTGGAAATATCATTGTTTGGGATTACGTAACTATTTTCTGATGTTACAGTGAGAGAGAGTGTGTGTGTGTTGCTATTTTTCTTTCCACCATGGAGGAGTGGCACACACATAAACGGGATGATGGCAATGGGGGTGAAAAACAACTTCTGCAAAGTCCGGGCGCCCCATCCCCAGGTTTGGCTTTCTTCCGCTGTCTGTGGCTGCACCCTCTTCTGTGTCCTCCCAGAAGCATGCTCCAAAAGGGTGAGGCCCGGGCGGGTGTGTGCTGCTGTAGTATCTAATATACACACAGATACACAAACCAGCTACACAAACACCAGCAGCTGTGGGCCGGTGGTGCACACGCATTCCTGTACACATGCAGGGAGAGAGAGAGAGAGAGAGAGAGAAAGAATTCCAGCAAATGCAGGAGGAGCAGAGCAGCTGGGAAGAAACAGAGGAGAGGATTTTGTGGCCAGGCGGAAAAGAGCCCCCCAAAAGTGGGTGGGTGGGGAAATCTGGAGCCCAGTTCTTGGGAGGTCTTTAGGCAAAGCGTTCTGTGTTTGCATGTAAGTGTCCTTCGCTGATGCTCAGCTCTGGAACTGATTCCACAAAGCTGGGTCTTCCTCTGCCTGACAAGCTGTTGTCAGATAAAAGGATGTTCCTGAGGATGGGCAAAAACAAACAAACAAACAAAACACCTTCCTGCAGGGAAGGCTCAGCTCCGGTGGGGGCAGCCGCCCATTAGTGTGTGTGGCCCTCGAAACAACCAAGAGACCTTTTGTGGACTGCAGCCCACTGCGATGGGATGGGAGTTTCTCAAGAGGCTGCATCCGTTACAAAGTCAGGCTTCCAGGCCACCGCTCCACAGCCACCAGGGAAAGATTTCGGCAGCTGGCAGAGTGAACAAGCACACACACACAACCGCACCTCAAAAGCCTGCCTGCCAACGCACACACACTTCTTTTTTTGCACAACCAGGCCCTTACAAGGCGACAGGGACACAAGGCCAGGAAAGGAACAACCCAATCTTTCACAGTTAAACCCCTGAAGAAGGACTGCTGGAAATAGCGTCAAAATACAAAATATATCTGGTAAGGGAAGAAAGGCAAGGAGGTGGCAGGAGAGAGAGATCAAATGATGCGCAAGATGGACTCCACACAGAGGGTGCACAGCCCATGTGCTGAAAGGAGCCCCCCCAGGGGGCACCTTATGCCCCTCTCACTGACAATGAACCCCCCTTCTCCTGCAAGAACACAGATGAATGACCCTTGAAGGGACGGAATATATGGCCACACAAAAGAGAGCCTCCTTTTTCAGGGGCAGTCTAGCTTTGAATGCCCAGTAGAAGGAGACCCAATGCACAGGAGAGGTTTGCTGCCCTCCTGCCCTTCTTGGGGGACCGATCCCAGAGCCACCTCTGGCTGGGCATGATGGAAAACCAGAGGCAGGCCCAGCCAAGGCGAAGGCAGGGGGGAATGCCTCTCAGCCCAGGGACCAAAAGGGATCTCAGAGGAGATCCTGGTAGGGCGAGCGTTCCAGTGGGACCTACAGCGGCGTAAGGGGCAGAGTTAGGGAGACTCTCTCTCTCTGGGCTTCATCGCTGCTGCCCTCTGCTGGCACAGAAGGGAAGAGCAGGCCTCCTTGGGACAAAAAATCAGAGATGAACCGCAATTCATCATCATCCTGTACACAGAAGGAAACTCACAAAGGCATAACCTCAGCCTGTCTGCTCACTTGTCTGGCCCAGGATGCCTCACCTTTGCTGGCAGAAGGTCCTGCTGAGTGAGGGTGGGGTGGGGGGGTTCCAGATCCAGTCCACCCCACCCCCCTCACGGCCAGCTGCTAATTGGTCTTTTCAACCAGAGGTTCCCTGGGTTGAAACTGAAACCATCACCCACCCACCCCAAAGCAAATATTCTTCTGTCCTCCGCCTAATGGTAGAGCCAGCCCAAAGGGCAAATGTAATATATACAGCATATCACTTTGGCCATCACAGCTTTCTCAGACAACGTTTTGACTCCAAAGCAGGTTACAAGAATGCCATGAAACAGGTCATTAAAAGCAGCAAAGAAGGTTAAAATGCATAAAAACAATACATTAAAATCCAGAAGACGCACTCTATTAGTATCTTTAAAAACAGAATATCAGAAAGGGAAGTTCAACTGGCAATGTGAATAGTGGAGACAAGTCTTTAACTGAGGACGAGAGCACATCACAAGGAGACCCCCCCTGGTTATAATTTAAATCCTGGCCAAGAACAGCTCGGAGACAATATTTTTGGATTACAAATCCCAGAATCCCCTACCCAGCAGAGCTTTGGAGAGTGACTATGTGGGATTTCGAATCCCAGAATCCCCCACCAATCAGAGTGGCAGGTGCTTGTGTGTGTTTCAGGGAATATCCCCATCCAACAAGGAGTCCTTGCTGCCCCCCCAATGCAAAGCGGTGCCCCAAACCTCCTAGGGAGCCCCACCCTCGAGAGGTGACGGGAGCTGCCCAAGACGGGCCAGTCACACACACACACACACACACACAACACACACACACACACACACACGCGGGTGGGTGGTTGGACGGGGCTGACCGACAGGAAAGGCCGGGGTCAGGTCAAGCTGTTTCTGTTCAACTGCAAACACCCCCGCCGCCCCCCCGTCTGCCTCACCCCCTTCTTTCCCAGGGGGATTAAGTGGGGAGGTCAAAGGTAATGGGAAGCCTGGGAAGGTCAAGGCCTCCTGGGGGGTGGAGTAGGTGGAGCAGACCAGGCCTGTGAAAGGGGGGGGGGAAGAGATGAGAGAGAGAGAGAGAGAGAAAGAGCACAGCTGGATGGAGGATAATGCCCAGGTGCCTTGGGTAGGCCTGAAGGGGCTGCTGGACGTACTGGTGCCTGGGATGCCCGGAGTGGTGTTTGCCGAAAGCAGGGCAGAGGCAGCTCCAGTGAGGGCAGCCCGCCCACCCCCACCCCCCAAAAAGCCCCATCCCCAGTGGGAAAGGAGGAACCGGGTGCCTCCCCCCACGGCCTCTGGCCAGAGGTCTCCTGCCCTCCGGGGTGCCCCACCGTGGCAACAGGA